GGTTTCTGGGAGTTTTTTGTAATAAGAAATTTGATTTGGATGTCAATATGACTCTTACTTATAGGGGGCGCCACCTACATGTGTTTTAACTGGTTTGAACAGTAATAACTTTTCGGTCGTACTTGTATAAAACTACAGAGTGAAAAAATATACATTTCCGCCATTTTTTACGTATAAAATGTCCCTTGGTAAAAATCGCTACGAGCAACTATTCTCAATATATATTTAGAATGGAAATAGTCAATACACGTCATTATTGACAAAAAATAAGAATGAACATGTTGAATAGATAGTTACTAGACTGAAATGATACACTTGGGAACTGTTTGACGATATGTATATAATATTTATTAACTAAAATATATATATATATATATATACAACTGTTTAAAAATATACAATTCAATAATATTATTAAGCTTTATCTTCCTAACAGTTGTTGGTTGCATCCTTCTTCATCTGCAACAGTTTGAAGAGTTTTATGAGTCTCACTGGGCAGGTGGTATCGAAGGCATTCTCCTTTTTTTTATAAATTGGTCTATATCGTCTACGTTTATACGCTTTTCTCAAATATCATGATTCTAATTTTTTTCTTGAAATTTTTATAATTTAGTTGTATTAATTCTTTTGGTAACATATTAAATATTGTGGTAGTTTCTGTTGTTAGTTTTTGTGAGAGTTTTTTTTTGGGTTCTCTTGACTGTTCTGTCTGATTTTCTTCTGGTTTCGTAAGTGTGAATTTGTTTGTTAGTTTTTAAAGAAATATTTGTTTTTATTAATTCATTTTTGATTTTGTGTAGACGTAATATATTATGATATTTCATTAATCGTCTTAATGTTTAGTTCTTTTGTTTTTTAGTACATTTCTTCTGTTGGTGTTAGTTTATCTAGGTTAAATATTATTTTTAGTATTTTATTTTGTTGTCTTTGATTTTTTAAAATTAATAATCAATTTTTCTTGAAAAAAATTATAATAAAACAGTTTCTGTTAAACTTTTGGCACAAAAAAATCAAATTTATTATTTCAGACTAAGAACTATTTAGTTAACATGTTTAATTCATGACAGTGATTACAGGTATTGATAATTTCGATTTCAAATATCTCGAGAACCATTACTCGTAGAGATTTTTGCCAAGAAACCTTTTTTACGTAATAAACGTCGTAAATGTATATTTTTTTACTCAGTAGTTTTATACAGGTACGGACAAAAAGTTATAACTCTTCAAACCAGCTAAAAACTATGTTGGTAGAGCCCTATACGAGTAAGAGTCATATTGACATAAAAATCAAATTTCTCATGTCAAAAAACTCCCAGACACCAATTGTCATCCAAATATCGATGTTAGTTCAGGTATTATTTGGAGAAATTCGAAATAAAAATGAAACTTCTACACCCTGTATATCCGAAAATAAGCATTTTAGGACATACATTTATACGAACTTTTTTACTTATTTTTATCTGCAGAATATGCTGCCAAAGTTTCCCGAATACAATTCGGACCACCCTGTACATATTACTATTTGTAAATAAAAATCTCAGATAATTACCAAAATAAAAAGTTTGTGATATTTAATTGTAGATTATTATTATAATGCTTACAATATTGTATCAACGAAATAAACTACTCAAAACAATTACCGCATTATTTCTAAAAAAATCTGTAATTTTTAGTCGGCCGACTGTTGCAAAAGTGAAAACAATACATACTTATAGAGCTGCTCGGCCGTCTATTTGACTGCATGTGAGCGCGGCTATATGCAACTAAATAGTCAGCCGATTAAAAATTGCCTGTCAGAGTATAGCCTAAGGCAATGCAATCAAATATTGGGCCGATCGGCTCCATAAAAATGTATTGTTTTCACTTTTACAACTAAATAGTCGGCCGACTAAAAATTAAATGTCAATTCGTACTTTTAATTTTTAACTCTATGATTCGTACCCTAATTACCCTAAAAAAAACTCAAGAGAAAGACAGAAAAATGCATGCTTCAGTTAGAAATATGTAATAATTACTTTTATTCAAATATACGATAATTGTTTTGAGTAGTGTATTAATCTGTTTGAAATAATATTTCACATACAAGCGCGGTTTTCTTATTAAATAATCACTCATGTTAACAACCATATTAATTCATTCCAAATTCCATTAAAGTCTCTTTCCACCGTACACACCGAAGGCTAATTGTTCCACGGCCTGTTCCGTTCTCAATTTAAGTTTATGAAAGTAGACAAGGAAGAAGAACAACACGAACAACAACAACCGAGCTAGGGAGAACCACACGAATAAAACGGGAACAGAGAACAACCTCTGTCTCGTACAACCTTTACACACCCTCTTGCGAATTTGTTTAGTAAAACATACTCGAGCTAAAGAGCTTAGTTTAGAAATTTGAATTTATTGCCGGCAGTGGTGGAATACCGTGTGCCGTGGATTTAATTATATAATTAATTGTGTATTACAGGAACGAGATTGTTAAAATGATTTATCTTGGTATAGTTTCAGATTTATTTAAGTTCGTTTAAGTTTTTAATGTTTCTAGCACAATATCAATTATTTATTTGATGACTTACCTAATACCACTGAATTATTTTTAGCCGACCATACCAACAGATATGGTAGAGTAACGCCACGAATGTTTTGGAGTGATTCATCGCTTGATGAAGTTAGAATCGACACGCGCGCTATCATTTTTACACTAAAAACGTAAATTTTTACCGCCCACGTAGGTTTTTAAAGGCCCAGTCTAATCATCTGCCTGCGCTCCTCTTATTTATTCTAAAATGTTAGCGTGATTGACAAAGACGATACTATATCGCGTTTCTTTGAATGATTCGTTTTTGTGCGTCAGTCCATTGGTGTGCTTGCAGTGCGACCAATGGGGCATTCCATTTTATATTTATAACCAAATATATATTTTGACAAGACTTTGACAGTTAAAACAACAAATTACAACAGATTATATATTGATTATTATATGACTTGAAACACCACGGCAGTGGAATTAAGTTTTATGTGACCTTGAACAGATTAGTTCACATGGTAGCGACCGATGAATCACTCCCAAACATTCGTGGCGTTTAATATAGGCTATTAAGATCGGCATTTTTTTTTTAATTTCACTCAAAATGAGTTTTTTGGGTCATAAATGACCTAAATACAAAATATTTTCATGGTGTCTGTCCGTCTGTCCGGTTCATGGTGTCTCCGTCCGTCTGTCCGTCTGTCCGTCTGTCCGTCTGTCCGTCGCTGTCCCGTCTGTCCGTCTGTCCGTCTGTCCGTCTGTCCGTCTGTCCGTCTGTCCGTCTGTCCGTCTGTCCGTCTGTCCGTCTGTCCGTCTGTCCGTCTGTCCGTCTGTCCGTCTGTCCGTCTGTCCGTCTGTCCGTCTGTCCGTCTGTCCGTCTGTCCGTTCGTCCGTCTGTCCGTTCGTCCGTCTGTCCGTTCTGTCCGTCTGTCCGTCTGTCCGTCTGTCAAGTCTGTCCGTCTGTCCGTCTTCGTCCGTTCGTCCGTTCTGTCCGTCTGTCCGTCTGTCCGTCTGTCGCGTCCGCACCGGTCCGTCTGTCCGTCTGTCCGTTCGTCCGTCTGTCCGTTCGTCCGTCCGTCCGTCTGTCCGTCTGTCCGTTCGTCCGTTCGTCCGTAAGATCTGTCCGTGCGTCCGTCTGTCCGTTCGTCGCCCGGTCCATGGTTCTGTCCGTTCGTCCGTTCAGTCTGTCCGTCTGTCCGTCTGTCCGTTGCGTCCGTCTGTCCGTCTGTCCGTCTGTTCGTTCGTCCGTCTGGTCTGTCCGTCTGTCCGTCTGTCCGTTCGTCCGTCTGTCCGTCTGTCCGTCTGTCCAGTTCCGTTCGTCCGTTCGTCCGTTCTGTCCGTCTGTCCGTCTGTCCGTCTGTCCGTTCGTCCGTCTGTCCGTTCGTCCGTCTGTCCGTTCTGTCCGTCTGTCCGTCTGTCCGTTCGTCCGTCTGTCCGTTCGTCCGTTCGTCCGTCTGTCCGTCTGTCCGTCTCTGTCCGTTCTGTCCGTTCTGTCCGTCTGTCCGTTCGTCCGGTTCGTCCGTCTGTCCGTCTGTCCGTCTGTCCGTCTGTCCGTCTGTCCGTTCTGTCCGTCTGTCCGTCTGTCCCGGTTCGTCCGTTCGTCCGTTCGTCCGTCTGTCCGTCTGTCTAGTTCTGTCCCGTCTGTCCGTCTGTCCGTCTGTCCGTCCGTCTGTCCGTTCGTCCGTTCTGTCCGTTCGTCCGTCTGTCCGTCTGTCCGTTCGTCCGTTCGTCCGTCTGTCGGTTCGGTCCGTCTGTCCGTCTGTCCGTTCTGTCCGTTCGTCTCGTCTGTCCGTCTGTCCGTCTGTCCGTCTCGTCCGCTTCTTGTCCGTCTGTCCGTCTGCCCGTTCGTCCGGGCTGTCCGTCTGTCAAAATCCGTCCGTCCGTCTGTCCGTCCGTTCGTCCGTCCCGTCTGTCCGTCTGTCCGTCTGTCCGTTCGTCCGTCTGTCCGTCGTTCGTCCGTTCGTCCGTCTGTCCGTCTGTCCGTTCGTCCGTTCGTCCGTCCGTCCTGTCCGTCTGTCCGTTCGTCTGTTCGTCCGTCTGTCCGTCTGTCCGTCTGTCCGTCTGTCCGTTCGTCCGTCTGTCCGTCTCGTCCGTTCGTCCGTCTGTCCGTCTGTCCGTCTGTCCGTCTGTCCGTCTGTCCGTCTGACCGTTCGTCCGTTCTGTCCGTTCGTCCGTCTGTTCA